GCTGCTGCATAGGTACACCTCAGCTCATCTGTAATGCATAGGCTGTTAACATAACTGAAATGTGTTCAAGTTGATTATGCATCTTAATAAGGGCAGGGTTTACAGTATTGCTGATAAAGTAAGGGAAAGTGAGCAGTATGTCACCGTCAGACTATCAAATACTGTACATTTCATGTTTTTCTATATATTTCCTATATCCATCTTAGCTTTACTACTTTTTGTTGCTCCACTGAACACACTAACACTTCCTTTTTCATTAGTGTGGAAAGATCTTACGGTATTATAAATGCGTTCATCACATTTCTAGTGTTCTCAATACCTTTATTATGAAATGCTGATATCTTTCCACAAGGTGGTTTCTCCCCATTTTAACCAATTCATTCATACACTTTTAAGTTTTCACTGGATTCAAAATCTGATGTTTCTGTGTTCCAAGTCTTAGGTTAACCTTTTCTCTCTGATTCCTTGCAGCCTACTTTCTGGGAATGATCCTGACGTTTGCAGTGATGCTGCTGTCTGGGATGGGACAGCCCGCCTTACTCTACCTGGTGCCCTTCACCCTGATCACCTGCGCCGTGGTGGCTGCCTGCCGGGGAGAGATGAGGCAGTTCTGGGCAGGAACCACCTATGAGGTGAGACAGAGACAGAGAGTTCAAAGGGATTCTTCACAGTGTTGGCACAGGAGTGGAACTTCCTGTTGGAACCTCCCTTCTTTTACAAATCTTTCAGTGTGTTTCTGAAGAACTTCCCTCAACGTCAAGTGCCCAGCAAGGCTTATCACTGCAGTCACTAGGAGGATGTTATAAATATTTGTGCCACAGTGACGCGTCCTGAAACCCGGAAGCAAACTCCTTCCGGATAATTTTCTTATCATAAATCTATCGATTTAGATTTATGATTAGAAAATGATAAAAGTAGGGTAGACATGTGGATATTATCCGGCTGAACAAAACGTGATCTGTCTCTTCAATGTGTGTCAACCACAGACCTTATTTCGAGCTATTTTCCCAAATCCTATGGAGAAATTGCATTGCTTTTTGTCGAAGTAACCTGAAGTGGTAAAATGCTAACTTACTTCCGGGTGTTACGACGCGTCACTGTGGCACCCTATGCTAACTTGTTGCTAATGCACAACAGATTAAAGAAAAGCATCTAACCAGTTTCCCAGGCCAGCCCCGAGAGTTTGCTGCTTCATTTTTGCAGACTTCGTGCAGGTCAGGCTTTTCTTGGTTTAAAGGTCCCATGTAATGCTTTTCCGGTTATTACCACCCCCTTGTGTTATGCAGCTTCTTCTGCATGTAAACGGTCTGCAGAGTCACAAACCCTCAAAGTACACCCTGTAGCGAGTAAAACTCTAACAGGAAAAGTGCACCCTTACAATGCCAGTTAGATAACCTGCGTTACTTCCAGTTGACATAGCAACTGTGTTGTCATGCAGGGAAAACTGAGAGGTAGCCAGTCTCACCAGAGCAGATGAGGCTCTGTAAAGAGAAAGTAAAAACTGCATCAAGGGAAATTACTCCGGGCCGTTTTCCCTTTTACTTTCCTGCTTCATGTCTTAATGTTGAAGATTATGTGAACTACGTTCAAATCTTAGACTTTTTTAATGCTTGATCTACAGCCGAAACAGAGATATGTTTAATGTTAAGAGAAAGTGAAATATAATCAGCAGTTTTGAATGTAAAGTGTGATTTCAGTTTTTGATCACGAGGCTTTAGGATGTGTCATCATCAATCAGCTCTCTGCAACCAGAGGTCCTGAGCAAACACTACAGTATCACTCTGCTGTCATTGCACTTCATTCAGGCTTTAGAAATCGCTGTGAGTCAACCACCTGAAGTGTATTGACCTACTCTACTAGATATTGTGCTGTCTTTGAAGAACTGAATGTACAGAAATAGAAAGACTTCTGTTATTCACATGTTCTTAACCTGACATGTGTGTTGACGTTACATCCAGTCTCACACTCACTATTGTGTATAAGCGCTTTGAGCACCAGGAAAAGCGCTATTACGATGGCCGGACAGGCAAACAATTACATGAAATCATTGGAAATCGATGAGCGAGCTCGAAATATGGTTCAATATAGCAGTAGGTGATCGATGTCCATAGATGAGAGTAACATCTACGTCACTTCAGGGTGAAAATTAGGGCCCCGCCCACTTTTGGGGGAAACCAACGCTGTCATTTGAATGGCGATCAAGCCTGAAGCCACAGAGCTCTTCTTTTACTGTCCTTTCTTCTTAGAGGAAGTACATAAAAACGTAACGCTGGATTTGTTTTAACGTTTGAGGTGCAATAAACGACACAGCAGCTTTTTGGCATGATAAAACTATTATTTTCTGCCTCGCTCAGGATAGTAACAGCTGGCGAAATGACGGCCTCGCCTACTGATTTTAATTTAACCATATATCGAGCCCGATTGTCGATTTCCAATGATTTAATGTATTTGTTTGCCTGACTGGCCATCGTAATCAGGCTCTTTGAAGATCCAAAAATCCACGGTTTTCAAAAATGTCTGATCGGATTGGCAAAAACAAAGAATTTGTTTTGGCCGCCATTCAAATGACAGCGTTGTTTTCCCCCAAAAGGGGGCGGGGCCGTAATTTTCACCCGGAAGTGACGTATGTGTTACTCTCATCTATATGTGTATGTGTACATGAAGTCACATTTATAAGTAAATAAGTAAGTAATAGCAAGGTAAGGTACGTTTCTTTATATAGCATATTTCAGACCCAGAGGCAATTCAAAATGCTTTACATGATCATTAACACATTATAGTAAGAGAGGAACACAATAAATAAACATAATGGAATAACAGATTCATAAAAACAATGCATTAATGAGATACAAAATAGTTTAAAAACAACTTTGTAAATACGGTAGGTGCTAAGACAAGTTAAAGGGCTTCTGGGTAAGCAGCTCTAAAAAGTAGTGTTTTTAGCCTCGACTTAAAAGAACTCAGCGTTGGTGAAGCCCTAAAAGCAGCTTCAACGTGTTTGGTTCTGAGCCGGGGAACAATGAGTAAGCCCGCCCCCGATGATCTCAGAGCTCTGGGGGGGCTCCTAACAGAGCAGAATGCCAGACATATATTGGGGTCCCAAACCATTTAATGCTTTTATAAGTTTGCAAAATCATTTTAAAATCGATTCTGTAAGCTACTGGTAGCCAGTGCAGAGATCTGAGTACTGGGGTGATTTGTTCTACTGTTTTCGTTTAGTAAATACGCATACATCATTGACTCTGCTAACAACTTGTCCCCTGAGGTCCTAAATAAAAATAAACATCTGGGAGAAGGTTGTATTGATGTGTATGTTTGTGTTAAGATGCTTGTCCTTGTTTGTGGGAGGAGGAAAATAAGAGTAAGAAAGATATAATTGTGACCTGGCTTCATCTCCACCAGGTCTTGGACTCATCCAGGGAGCCTTTACTGCCAGGTGTGATTCTAACCGAGACCTTTCCCCTGCATCGCTCCTGCCTTTATAGTGTTGCTTATTGCGGTGCCTTACCTTTTCTTATCAGCTTCTTTTGGTCCTTTTTCTTTTGACATTTTAACCCCTGAGTTCCAGGGTCAATGTACACCACAACCAATGTTATACCTTTTTAAAAACACAAAGAACAGTAGAGTGTTTTACAACTACTGACCACTAGGTGTCGTTAGTGGATTGAAACATAATCTGATATGTTTGAAGATCTTCTCATGGCCCTGGAATACCATTAAGCTTTTGATTTCTGCCAAGTTGTTTTGTCATTCTTTCTATAGTTCATGCATCTTTTCCACTTAGCGATAATTGTAATTTGCATCACTCCATCCTTCATGCAGCTACCAACATGCTCAGGTCGCCCTCTGCATGTTGTTGCCTGCGTTAATCCTAATGTGTTATCTCTGCTGTTTTTGAAAGCACTGCTCACCTGCTGTTATATGTGCAGTACGCTTTAAACATTTTTTAAAACTCTTTGTCTTGTGTATTTCATGATCCAACACATTACATTGAAAGTTGTTTATGTTTCCTTGTCTCTTTTCCTCAGAGGGAAGAACTGACTACAGCGTAGAAGGAGAAAAATGCTGATTCACAGTGTTGATGATGGACTCTACTGCTGGCTGCCATTTTTCTTTTTTTTACATTTTAATATTCAATTTGCAAAGCAGGGGAAACCCATGTAAACAGATTCTCTCAATATAGGTTCCTTGGTCTACTTAGGTTTGTTGTAAGGCTAATAAATATCGTGTAGGCTTGTTTAGTGCCTGAAAGGTCTGTTAGGCTCACGTTTGGAAAACTCCATTGACTTTGCCTTGGTGATGATTGAATAAAACAGAATGAGAATGCACTTTATATAATATTCAGCTTGAAGGTTGTTTCATCAGGGGTACGGTGGGTTTTAAATTACTCTAGCCACAAGATGATACTTTTTTGATAACTTATGGGGTTTATGTGTAACCTGTTTGTATAATGTGATTTCTTTCATTGCCTTATATTAAATTACCTTGTATTTAATGTCCTTGTATGTGTACTTCATTACTTTTTTAAGCTGTAATAAATATACTTCAGAAAAGAGAACCTTCCTGTAAATAAACCGCACACAAGCAGTGACTTACTGTTCTGTTGGGGAAGAAATTGATCCAGTGGAGAGGGAAAGGGCTTATGGGGCTTTTGTGTTTTGTGAGATAGCCAGGGGCAAGAAAGTGCCAAACATGAATCAATAACCTCTTAAAATGTATTCTGCAATAAAGATAGTTGACATTGTGAAGAGGATAAACCAGCTGGTACAATGCCAACTGTGACATTTAAATCAAGCAGTTAGAGCACAGATATCAGATCATTATGTGTGCTGGATAGACTCTGGAGTAACCCATAGAATAACGTTTTTGTTATTATTCATGTTTAATGTTAATTGGTAAAATGCCTATGTTGTCCTCAGGAGCTTGGGCTTTTCTTTTTTCAATCTTATAGCATTTTTTTAACAAAAAGTGTGCTTGTTATAGCCTCATTGCATCTTTATTTAACTTGAGAATGATTACATTACATTGCATTTAGCTGACACTTTTATCCAAAGCGACTTACAATAAGTGCATTCGACCAAGCATTCGACAAACTTGAAGAAAACAGAATCATGTAAGTATAATGATGAAAGAAAGACTCATTGACAGCCAAACACATTATTTGCATTAGGTTACCTGATATCACAAACAAATAAATATTTGCGAATTGATATCAGTCGATTTAATGGAAAACAATAAAGTGAGTTACTTTCTATTCATACGCCCTTACCGGGGCTTTATTAATGATCCATACATAATTTACTAATGCTTTACAGACAAGCTAAAAGCCGTTAATAACGGTTTTTGTTGGCTAGGTTAAAAACTGTTGCCACTGTAGGTGCTTGGTTGGTAAACATCCAGATAACAATAAGTAAACTGTAAGTAAACAATAACTGTTAATCGAATTCTTGTATCTAGTTTTTTAGGTTGGATTTAAATTTTGATCATGTGTCAGGATTTAAGAAAATCTTGGCCACCTTTAAAGGATGGATATGAAATTGTAATTTTGTGTCCGATGGACTCTGGGGTAAGGAGCCCATAGAATAATGTTTTTTTTAAATTATTATTCATGTTGAATGTAAATTTGTAAAATCTCTATTTTGTCCTGAGGAGCAGCACCATCCATCATGGTGCATACATTGGGCATTTATTGTTCAATCTTATGGCATTTTGTAAACAAAAATTGGTGCATGTCACATCCTCATTGCGTCTTTTTTTAAATGAATGCAGGATTTCATTTTTTAACTAAAGAATGACGAGAGAGAGACTAACATTGAAAGCTCAACACATATTATTTCCATTAAGTCAGTCCACTATTAACTAGTACACTAACTATTCCAAGGATCGATATGAAATTGTAATTTGTGTCTGATTGACTCTGAGGTAAAAAAACAAAACATCTATGTCAGTTGTGTGCACAGACAGGCTTACACAAGACCGTCAGGACGAGGGGAAGTTAAAACAATGTGTGTTTCTGCTGACTGTTTGTGCTTATTAGGAACTAAAACAAAGCGCACATGTGGCCGCAGGCTCCTCCTCGGCCATGTGACACAGTGCGGGCTGAGTCAGCCGCTCGTCATGCAGCGTCAGTCGGGAGTCGCACAATTATGAAAAAGCAACCTTCCGCTGGAGCTGCAGCCGAAGCGGATCTCTCAAACGTACACCGGGCTTTCCTTCCAAGGCTAACCGAGAGCACCGCCGATAGATGGATAAAAGCCACGACGCAGCTCTTCCTGAGTCTCAACGGTGAAGAGAATGGTATGTGACCCAGAGAAACAAACCGGGGTTGATAGTGTTGTCAAATTGGCGCTGAGAATCGTCGTGACTGATCGGGGGCTTTGAGTGGCAGGTCCCCCCGTGCATGCTGCCTGCTGCCTGTCAGACACCCAGAGACACCCCGGTGGTATTTACTGTGTTTGCTGACTGTCTCGGTGTACTACCGACACACTGTGACTCCCACGTTATGAGTGAAGTAGACACCGTGACACACTGTCTAGCAGGAAAACCCGAAAAATCACACACGGGCGGAGCGTTAGCCTGCTAAATAGCTAGCTCGCTAAAAGCTAACTGCTATTAACCGAAGCTAACTAGCAGCGGGCTGATGTTAGCAGCGGTTTTCTGCCAGTGGGAAGAGCTTCACAAACAAATGAGAGCACTTGAGAGAAGCTGGCACTTGTTTAAAGACCCGTTTCTTCCAGCTGTCTCAGATATCGGACAAGAAACGCTGTCATTGCCAGTAACAAGTCAATGCCAGTAACAAGTCAATGCCACCTTGAATGGCTGCCAAGTAAACTGAACGCTTTTATTCAGTCAGTCAGCTCTGGGAAAAGTTAAGTGGTGTTGAAATAGTGCATTTATTATCTCAGACCTTTTTATCTCATGAATGTTTTCTTTGTGGTTTGGTGACATGTTTAGGCCTGCCTGCAGCAGACATTGCTGAAGACTCATTAGTGTTTGTTAGTCGTAACTTTCCCCTTTTGGGACGAGCACAACCTCCCAAACGACTTCCTGTCTAGTCTTCTCTGCTCTCAAATACACAGGGTAAATGGAAGAGAAGATGACATGTAGCCAAAGTCATTAATGGCCACACAGTGTTGTTATTACACAGTGCAAGAGCTGGGTATTATTGTCA